ACAACAACAAAGAGAGAGAGAGCTTGATTGGCCTAGTAGACAGAAATTAGTACTACCAAGTTAAAGGTGGATGATTTTAATCTGCAGCTCTCAGGCCTAGTCTTAACTGTTTTTGGTCAAACATTCTTCTAAGTGGCATATCACCGGTCTGTGCATTTGCTGTACAAAGATAACTCATGGTTGCTGTAATGCTAAGCACTGTGACACTGATGTGTCAAATGTGATAATGGTTACTCATGTTGGACAGTGTTTAGTGGATCTCCTCCATTAAAACAAGCTTGGAAGCAGGAAAGGCATCCACTTCCTAAATAGCTTGCCTCTGGAAACTAAGAACTTGGAGAAACGATGAAAGTTATGTAAGTGTTCAGGTCTTTCGTTCACAGGGTCACTATGAGTCATTTATGACTTGATGACCCTTAAAAACAACAACAACAAGCCAATCTTGAATGCATGTTCAATTTCTGACTGCAGAAGTTGGTAGAAGTCTTCTATTTTCTCCTCTTTGGCTCTAGTTGTTGGTGCGTATATTTGAATGATAGTGGTATCCACTGGACTTCCTTGTATGTGAATGGATATTATCCTGTTACTCACAACATTGTATTTCACCACTAACAACATGGTATTTTAAGATGGATAAAGAAAGGTGACAAGACAAAGTGTGGAAATTATCAAACAATATAATTAATATCACATATAAGCAAGATTTTGCTGAAAATTATCCAAAAACGACTGGAACAGCACATCAACAGAGAACTGCCAGATGAGGAACTGGGTTTAGAAGAGGCCGAGGAACTAGGGTTATTATAGTTAATGTTAGATGGATCTTGGCTGAAAGCAGAAAATACAAGAGGAATGCCTATCTGTGTTTCATAGACTATACAAAGGCACTTGACTGTGTTGATCCTAACAAACTGGCTAATTCTGAGAAGAATGGGAATCCCAGAACACTTGATTATACTTATGTGAAAACTATACTTGGACCAGGAGGCAATCACCAAAACAGAGCAAGAAAACACTTCATGGTTCGAAATCAAGAAGGGATGTGTCCTATCGCCATTCCTTTTCAATCTGTTTGGAGAACAGATCATTCAGGAGGCTAGGTTCTATGAGGAGAAATGTGACATCAGGATTAGAGGAAGATTCATCAACAACCTGCGTTACGCAGATGATACAACCCTGCTTGCTCAAACTGAAGAGGACCTGAAGCGCTTACTGCAGAAGTTCAAGGACTGCAGCCTTAAATATGGATTGAAGCTCAATATCAAGAAAACAAAGATTCTCACCACTGGGCTGGTTGGCAGCATCATGATAGACGATGAAGAGACTGAGATTATTATTAATTTTAGTTTGCCTGGCTCCACAATCAATACATTGGCTCCAGCAGCCAGGAAATCAAAAGACAAATTGCACTGGGAAAGCTGATTGTCAGGGACCTCTCCAAAGTACTACAGAACAATGATATCAGGAGACTAAGGTGTGCCTGATCCAGGCCATAGTCTTTGTCTTTGTAAGTACTTGTTATGCGTCAGAAAGCAAGACAATGACTAGGGATGATAGAAGGAGAATTGATACCTTTGAGCTGTTGTGCTGGAGAAGAGTATTGAATATACCATTGACTGCTAGAAGAACAAACAGGTTCATTCTAGAGAGGGTGAAACAGGCTAATAGCCTTTTAAACGTATGTTTAAATTAAAACTCTCAGTTAATTACCTCTTTTCCAGCTTGTTCCATGAATAAACAAATTGAGGAATACTTATAGCAAAGTTCCCTAACTTCAGTAAATAACACTACCAGTTATGCAGTTACCTAAACAACTTAATATTATTAATTCAACACTTTTACTTTATCTTTCCCTCCATCATTCACTTTATCAGTACCCTGTCCCCATTTCTTAAAATCTCCTTTTTTACATTGGTCCAAGCCACCATCATCTCTCACTTGGGCTATATGAGAACCTCTTAACTTGCCATTCTGCTTTTACTCTTAATCCACTGCAATTCAGGCTTCACGCACCAATATGGACTATCTTTTAAAATATAAGTCAGAACTTTCATATATTGCTGCTGCTGTTTCTCACACTCTCTGCTGAGTTTAAAGCCATTTTTGTAATCACTGTGTTGATCCATCTTATTGAAGGTTTTCTTCTCTTTTGCAGTCCCTCTACTTTTTCAAGCATGATGTCTTTTTCTAAAGATTGCTATGGAGAGTGTAAAATGGCACACTCATCTGGAAAATGACTTGGCAGTTCCCTTACAAAGTTAATCATATAGTCCTGCAGTTCTACTCGTAGGTTTTTACCCAAGATCATTGAAAGTATATGCAAAAAGGATGTATATAGGAATGCTTAAAGCCTCATCCTTAAGAAAAATTGGAAATTATTTCATTATCCATCAAGAGACTAGTGGATAAATAAATTGAGTTATACACACACAATGGAATACTACAAAAAAAATTCAACTATGTATATATGCAATAGCATAAATATGATTTTGAGCAAAAGTCAGACCTAAAAATTTCATCTGAGTTCATCTGTATTGAGTTCACAATTAAGTAAAACTTATCCATGGTGGCTGTAGGAATGAGAATAATGATTTCTTCTTGGACAAGGATGAAGAGTCTGTCTGGAAAGGAACATGAGGAAACTTTTTAAAAAAAATTTGTGTGTATGTGTACCATCAAATCGGATCTGACTGGTATACAGGAGGAGATTGCCCCTCCTTCTCCAGCAGAGCATCTGGTGGATTCAAACAGCATACCTCTGGGATTGCAGTGCAGCTTCTTGCCACTAGGCCACCAGAGCTCCCTAACATGAGGAAACTTTTTGATGAAAAAATTCTGTATACTGATTGCAGTAGTGGTTACAAGGGTGAGCATTTGCCAAAATCCATCACACTATATGCACATTATTATCTATATTTTAAAAAAGAGTATTATAAAATTAAAGATATATGATAGGATAGTATAGCTACCATAAGAGTCCAGAATTAAGATTGCATAGTGGAGTGTACTTGGGGTGGGGTAAGGGGTGTGGGGGGGATTGTATACCAATGAAAGAATTTTTCTTTTACTTTTCAAAGAGAGGAGCCAACTCTGGGGGGGGTGCTAGGCAGGGAGAAAAGTGCAACAATGAATGAATGGAAATCTAAAATCTCTGTAAATGTTCATTAAAATTAGTAAAATAAAACTTTAAAAAAAAGAGTATTATAAAATTGTAAATAAGGCATCATAGTCTTTAAAATGGGGAAAGTATTACTCCTATTTATGGAGTTGCTATAAAATCTAAATAATATATAAAATACAGTGCCTAAAATGTATTGTTGTTTTTAGGTACTGTGGATTCACAACCAACTCATAATTGACCCTCCAGCTGGTTTTCAGAGGTTCTTAGCGCCTCTTAAATATGAATAGAATGGCAAGAGACTGCCCATTCTTCTCCCGCAAAATGTATTAGGTACTCAAAATTGGCTGTTACTATGATAGTAATGTAAGCCCCGGCTTTCACAAATATAATCTAAACTCTTTGTTCCCACCAGAAATCCCTATGTGATCGGAAAAATGTGTCTCTTCAACCTCATCTCCTATTACTCCCTTCATCTCTAACTCTTTTTACTCTGGCCTTCCCTTTCACTGAATAGTAACAAATAAGATTATGCCTACTTTGGAGTCTATGTGTTTCCCTCTTACCTTAGGTCTACATGTGGTTGGTTCCTTCTTTCAAATGAAATATTAAATACTTTGAAGAGGCATTCCTTGAGCATTTTATCTATTTATCTATTACATGTTTCATCTTAGAGATACTCTTTTATTTTTGAAATAAGACCCTTGCCTGACTTGTTCACTGTTGTATCCTCAGTCCCCAGAACAATGGCAGATACTCCATAAATAATTCTTAAAATAATTAATAAATATTTAATTTCTAGTCTTCTGACTTATACAAAGAGAGGTATAGTATGCATTCATTTGCTAAACCAGGGAACACTGAAAGAGTTAGTGTTTGGGAAGAAGACTATATTGTAATATATAAATATATATATATATATACATATATATAACTATATTGTGACATATTATACACATATATATATTAATCATTAACAACTTTATTTTGCAGATTTCACACATACACACACACACACACACACATTCCTTTACTGACATGATGTTTCATACAATCATTCCTATACATTGTGTTTTATAAAAAGAATCACCATTGGACTATATCCACCTATGATCTATATTTTTAAACATTAAGAAAAATAAATTCTAAACTGAGTGCATACTTAAAAACACCAAACTTTAGGGTCAAAGAAAAATAAAGTGTCAAGCAATTCATCCTTGCGCCTCTGGCAAGAGATTATTTTTAGATTGTTCTAGCGTATCCCATCAGCAAATGTCTTACCTTAAAGAAAGGAAGGCCTATTCACTTAATGATCTTTTTAACCTACAAACTAGAAACCAGTTGGTTTTCTAATGTCTAACCTTATAATTCAAGTTCATGTCAGCTAGAAAAATCCAATGAGACTTACTATTCTTCAAAATTTCAGTGCATGAAATTTGCTATTATGCTAATCTAGAACTTTTCCATTCAGGCTATTTCAAAGTTACAAAAGCTGTCTTCCCTTCACCAAAGAGCCTATGACTCAGACCCCAAGTTATAGAATTGACTCTCATATATAAGGTTAATGTCATTTTGATAAAAAAATCCTTTATTGAGTTTGTTGTTGTTATGTGCTGTTGAGTCGCCTGCAACTCATAGTGACTCTATGTACAACAGCCCTAAACCCTGCCCTATCCTGTGTCACTCTTACTATCTCTGACACACCTAACTCCATTACCCGAGTCACTGAATCAATCAATTTCATTGAGGGTCTTCCTCTCTTACGCTGTCCCTCCACCGTCCCTCTCCAAGGACTGGTCCCTCCTTGCAACATGTCCAAAGTATGTCAGACAAAGCTTCAGAATTTACAAAAAAAAAATCCCATTATACAAACAAAACTTACCTTCGTTTGCAAATCAGGAACCACAAAACTGATGCCAAAGCAAAGAAACCAATTCCCAAAATAACAGCACCAGCAGCCAGAAAATAGGTTAAGTGGTTAAAGAAACCTATACAAATAAAGTATAAAAGAATATTACATGCATGTATTTTAATTCTCTAGGTAAAGTTAAATATAATGTTTCAAATGATGTAACAGAGAGTATGTAGTGTTAATGATGAAGGTTGGAGACTGCAAGTTTAGTCCTACACAGTTCTAATAAACTTTGAGATCCTGAGTTAGAGACAGCAGGGCCTCCTGGTGACTGGGGCCTGGGGCCCACTACTCTGACACAGCCAGGATCTGAAACTTACGCTTTGTTTGTTTTTATAACAGCTGCCACCTCCTTCTTTTCCTACCTAGTTTTCTCCCTAACACCACTTTGTGCAGTCCACAAACATGAGATACTTTTCATTTATTTAAGAGTCATACTTGCATTGAAACAGATGAGGGAGAAAACTGTTTAAAAGGAATATAGGATTAGGTATTAATCCCTAGCCCTAAGAGAGATGCAAATTAAAACAACTATGAGATATCATCTCACCCCAGTCAAAATAGCAAAATTTAACAGAACAGTAAGCAATAAATGCTGGCGAGGTTGTGGAGAAACTGGAACCCT